TTACCTACCACTTGATTCATTGATTCACCCACATTATAATAGAGTTAAACAACTACGCTGATAGAGTTAAACAACTAGGGTGATACCTATCATTTGATTCATTAATTCACCCACATTATACAGCTGGGTAGAGTTAAACAACAAGGGTGATGCCACTTGATTCATTGATTCACCCACAATAAACAGCTGGGAAACAGCTAATGTGGGTGAATCAATGAATCAAGTGGTAGGAACTAGGGTGATAGGTAGAGTTACATACTGCTGTAAAATGGGTGAATCAATGAATCAAGTGGTAGGTATCATCCTAGTTTTTTAACTCTACCCAGCAGTATAAAGTGGGTAAATCAATGAATCAAGTGGTAAGTATCACCGCCCACATTATACAGATGTGTAGATTAAAACAACTATGAATCAATGAATCAAGTGGTACTTACCACCCTAGTTGTTTAACTCTACCCAGCTCTTTAATGTGGGTGAATCAATGAATCAAGTGGTATCACCCTTGTTGTTTAACTCTACCCAGCTGTATAATGTGGGTGAATCAATGAATCAAGTGGTAGGTATCACCCTTGTTGTTTAACTCTATTCAGCTGTTTATTGTGGGTGAATCAATGAATCAAGTGGTATCACCCTAGTTGTTTAACTCTACCCAGCTGTATAATGTGGGTGAATCAATGAATCAAATGGTAGGTATCACCCTAGTTGTTTAACTCTACCCAGCTGTTTAATGTGGGTGAATAAATGAATCAAGTGGTAAGTATCACCCTAGTTGTTTAAATCTACACATCTGTATAATGTGTGTGAATCAATGAATCAAGTGGTAAGTATCACCCTACTTGTTTAACTCTACCCATCTGTATAATGTGGGTGAATCAATGAATCAAGTGGTAGGTATCACCTTAGTTGTTTAACTCTACTCAGCTGTATAATGTGGATGAATCAATGAATCAAATGATAGGTATCACCCTAGTTGTTTAACTCTACCCAGCTTTTTAATGTGGATGAATCAATGAATCAAATGATAGGTATAACCCTAGTTGTTTAACTCTATTCAGCTGTATAATGTGGGTGAATCAATGAATCAAATGATAGGTATCACCCTAGTTCTTTAACTCTATTGAGCTGTATAATGTGGGTGAATCAATGAATCAAGTGGTAGGTATCATTTTAGTTGTTTAACTCTACCCACCTATATAATGTGGGTGAATCACTGAATCAAGTGGTAAGTATCACCATGGTTGTTTAACTCTACCCACCTGTATAATGTGGGTGAATCAATGAATCAAGTGGTAGGTATCACCCTAGTTGTTTAACTCTACCCATCTGTATAATGTGGGTGAATCAATGAATCAAGTGGTAGGTATCACCCTAGTTGTTTAACGCTACCCAGCTGTATAAAGTAGGTGAATCAATGAATCAAGTGGTAAGTATCACCCTAGTTGTTTAACTCTACGGAGCTGTATAATGTGGGTGAATCAATGAATCAAGTGGTAGGTATCACCCTAGTTGTTTAACGCTACCCAGTTGTATAATGTAGGTGAATCAATGAATCAAGTGGTAGGTATCACATTAGTTGTTTAACTCTACCCAGCTGTATAATGTCGGTGAATCAATGAATCAAGTGGTAGGTATCACCCGAGTTGTTTAACTCTACCCAGCTGTTTAATTTGGGCGAATAAATGAATCAAGTAGTAGGTATCACCCTAGTTGTTTAACTCTACCCAGCTGTATAATGTGGGTGAATCAATGAATCAAGTGGAAAGTATCACCTTAGTTGTTTAAATCATGACATCTGTATAATGTGGGCGAATCAATGAATCAAGTGGTAAGTATCACCCTAGTTGTTTAACTCTACTGAGCTGTATAATGTGGGTGAATCAATGAATCAAGTGGTAGGTATCACCCTCGTTGTTTAACGCTACCCAGTTGTATAATGTAGGTGAATCA